TCCGTACGTGCCTCTGCAGGCAAAGGGACGAAAACTGCATATTTACTAAAACGGTCAACTATGACCATGACTTGGCTCTTACCATGTCTRCTCTTGACTTGGGTGTCCATGAAGTCTATGGACACTGAGTCTCCCGGCTGATCCGGAATAGGCAAGGGTCTGAGAAGACCTAGGAGCGCGCGTGTAGTAGATTTGTTTCTCTGGCATACTTTACAACTGCGGACATACTCTATGCAGTCGTTCTTCATCCCTGGCCAAGTGTACGCACGCATCAAATTGGCTAACGCCTTTTGCCAACCGAAGTGTCCCTCAGTATCGTGACATTCCCCCAAAATCAGACTACGAATCTCTTCGCTGTTGGGAACGCACAGGCGGTCGAACACATTAGTCTTCTCAAACAGCAACCCGTCTCTAGTGCGGTAATCTGGTTCATTCTCTGGGGCCTTTCTAACTCTCTTCAGGAGGTCGCTATAGATAGGGTCCTGCGCATATGCTTGCTTCACTTTCTCCTGCAGGTCTCTCCCTATATCCAGATAGTGTACTACGGCTCCAAAGTAGTATGATCTCCTACTCAGAGCATCCGCAACTACGTTGTATTTGCCCTTCACTGGCTTGAGCTCAAAGTCGAATTGGTCTATCTCTGCGGCCCATCTAGTCAACTTAGGTGTCATCTTGGCCTGTGTCTTTAGCCAACGAAGTGTCTCATGGTCAGAATACACTTTGAAGTGCCTCCCAAGCAGATAGTGCTTCCAATGGTCTAAGGCCTGCCTGAGAGCGTAGAGTTCTCTTTCGTACGTGGAGGTAGCAACCTTCTCACAGGGCATCCTCGCTGACATGAACTCTACGGGTCTAAAACCATTGCCGTCGTCTTGCTGCAACACGGCGCCTATCCCATACTGACTTGCGTCCGTCGTAACGACAAATGGTAAGGACGGATCTGCTACTTTGAGGACAGGATATTCTACTAACACGCGCTTTAACTTTTTGAGCACAGACGTACAATCTTTATCCAATTGCCAGATTGCCTCTTTCTTTAGCAGTCTGCGCAAGGGGGCGGCGATAGTGGAGAAGTTCCTCACGAACTTCCTATAGTAGTTAGCTAAGCCTAGGAACGACCGCAACTCTGTTAATGTGCGGGGCGTCGGCCAGTCTCTAATCGCCGCGATCTTGCTGTCCTCTGGCTTAATGCCATCTCCGTCCAACACGTGGCCCAAGTACAAGACTTGTGTCTTGGCCCACTCGCACTTCTTCGCGTTGATCTTGAAGTTAGCCTCTCTAAGCTTCTCCAAGACCTGCCTCAGATGACCCTGATGCTCCTGGAGGGTCTTACTAAAAACTAGGATATCGTCTAAATAGACTACTACAAACTTATCTAACCATGGTCTAAACAGGTCATTCATACAACGCTGAAAAGTGGTTGGCGCATTGGTTAGTCCAAAGGGCATCACTATAAACTCATAGTGCCCATATCTAGTCCGGAATGCAGTCTTATACTGATCATCAGGATGGGCAGCGGCTCAGCATTCTTCACGGTGATCGCATTCAAACCCCTAAAAGATCGTCTATCCTGGGCAGCGGCTCAGCATCCTTGCGAGGACACTGACTATGGGGTCTACTAACTTCTGGACTTTTAGTCCTAGCCTCAACTTCTTCAGCGCCCTACGGCTAATGCAACTACGGGTAGCCCCTGAGTCTATAAGGGCCCCTACTCTACTTCTAAACACCTCTACGTCTACCAAAATCAGTTGTCCCTTACTCTCTCTCTTCATTTGGCCCAGGCTGGCATTCTCTCTTTTAACTCTTCTGCCACACCTGTGAGGGACGTGCCTAAAGAGACGCTAACACAAGCAGTCTCTGGACAGCTACCTAGGCACGGGCCTGCAACCTCTGCCATAGGCTCATGCGGGTTGGGAGTGTCCTGTTCGCGCGCGCTCACTTCTCCACATGGCCTGGAAGTAGGGGCAGTTGCAACCCCTACTGCCGGCTGCCTTTTGACTGCTGGGCAGCCCAACGGGCCCGTCTATACTTTAGACAAAATTTAATTACGTGCGTCGGGTCACCACAGAATACGCACTGACCCAAGTTCACGCGTTCCTGCCATAATCGCTGGTCCAAGCCCAAGCCTTCCCAGGGCCTGCCCTGCGGCAAGCCTGGGTGCCATCCTCCTTGAGGTGCCCTTCCACCTCCTCGCTGCGGGGACCGGTTACCCTGGCGATTTAACGGGGGACCTTGACCCCTACCTTCCGCTTGGCGGTTTCCCTGTCCGCCAACCCCCTGTGCGCCCGGTCCTCGGCCTCCCATGGCCTGGCCCCTTTGGCCCTGGCCTCCTCCTCTACCTTGCGGCCTCCCTCCGGCCGCGACAGCAGCGTAAGACCTCCCCTGCCCTACACTACTGTACTCCTCCCCAAGGCCCCACTCAATCTCATCATATGGGACCTCTTCTGTACCACCCTCCTCTAATGTCAGGATCAAGTGATCCTTGGCCTTTACTTGGCCTGAGATGGTACGATCTTTCCACTTCTTCCCCTTCTCCAGGTCCTTATGCCAGAAAGTGGTAACTGGCATAGACTTCGACTCATACAGGACGACTTCTCCACTCAATGCATCGTAAGTTATGCCGGCCTGCTGAGATTTGTCAAAGAAATGCCCGCGTAGGGCCTCCGGAATGGCACGATAAAACAACTGGACCAACTGGGGCTCAGTGACCCCGTGGTCCGGGACAGCTACCAAGTCGTCCATGGTACCCTTGAGTGCCTTGGCACTCCTCCACTGCCGGTAGTGGATCGTTTGGAGCTTATCAGAGGCTCTAATGCCTCGCGTTGGGTCAGC